CGGGCACCATCCGGGAAGCACACAGTATACCTCATAGCCATGCCAGCTCGACAGTGGTGGTGCATGCACTGCACCGTTACTTTGTCAAAACGCGTAGAAAAAAAAGCATTATTCTTATTCTCCACTACCCAAAATTACAGTCAATTTTTATTTTATTTATTTCTCAATTTAACCCTCGCCAAACTTGTACCAAATTGGGAAGACCTTGGATCCCAACGACTATATAAACAGGTGCCCGCTTTCTCTAACGCATTACACTTCACAGATCGGGTTTTCTCTCTATTTCTGTAGTTTTGGAAATCATAAGGTGCGAATTTATTTTCGTATTGTGAATTTCGGTGTTTGTACGTGTTGGCAGACATGAAAATGAATTGATTTGGTGATGAGTTGGTGGAGAAATTTGAATGAGTTATGTGCTCGATTATTTACGTCTGATCTGAATCGGAGTTTTCAGTATATTTGATTTGATATTAGTGATTTCAGATTAATTGATTTAAGTCTCTTTTTTGTTGCGTAATTGTAATTATTGTTTAATTATGTGATTGGTTTAGATCTACAGGAGCTTCACGATTCTGTTGTTTATCTGAATTTCTGCCGGTTAAAAAATGAGTTAAATTGTAAAGTGGTGTCTTTAGAGATCATTGCATGTAAATGCACGGTGGTCTTGTGAGAATTGCTCAGAATTTCTAGAATTGTTATGCTTTGTGATGAGATTTTAGAATTTTGTATAATTTTACCAGTGCTTGTTTCATGTGCACGCATCGGATTCCAAAGTGCACAAGTTTTATGTGTGGATATTTGGGGCTTGGGTCTTAGAATTTGAATGAATCTTCTGCCCACAAAATTCATACCAGATTACCTGCTTACTGTTTTCTTCTGATTTAAGGGAAACAAATGGCCATTTAATTACTTCCCCACCAGAATCATACCAGATACCTGTTTTCTTCTTCTAATTGAAACAAATGGCCAGACAATTACTTCTCCATTCTGTTGGGGGTAGAAAAATTATGTAACGGATATCCCCATTGTAATTTATCTATCCCAGTCCTCAATAGGCTTTATCTTTTCAAGGGTATGTTGTGAAATTTTCATAATTCTGTTATGAGGATGATTTAGCCAAAATATTGTTTGTGCAAAATGATAGGCATGTATGTTCCAATAAAATTACATTTTAACACAAGTTTTATGAGAAACATACTGCAGCCTTTTTTACGGTGTAATGATTGCTGTGTTAATGATTGGTATATTGAATATATTTTGTGGTATTCCAAAATCTGCCTGCGAATTTCCATACTATATTACCATGTTGATTCGCTAAATGTTCCCCACATTATGAATCTGTGTTTTTGAAGCACGATCTGACAAATCTTCATGTGAAAACTGTTTCCAGAGTGCTGAAACAGAGGGAAAATGGTGAAGATTTGCTGTATTGGCGCTGGTTATGTTGGAGGCCCCACCATGGCTGTAATAGCACTTAAATGCCCTAAAATTGAAGTTGTTGTCGTTGATATTTCTGCTCCTCGTATCAATGCCTGGAACAGCGATCAGCTCCCCATTTACGAGCCAGGCCTTGAGGATGTTGTGATGCAGTGCAGGGGCAAGAACCTCTTCTTCAGCACAGATGTGGAGAAACATGTCGCTGAGGCTGATATTGTCTTTGTTTCAGTTAATACTCCCACCAAGACTCAGGGTCTAGGAGCAGGTAAAGCTGCAGATTTGACGTACTGGGAAAGTGCAGCTCGCATGATTGCTGATGTGTCAAAATCTGACAAAATTGTGGTTGAGAAGTCGACTGTTCCCGTCAAAACAGCTGAGGCAATAGAGAAAATTTTGACCCACAACAGCAACGGAATCAACTTTCAGATTCTCTCTAACCCAGAATTTCTTGCTGAGGGAACTGCAATTAAAGATCTTTTCAACCCTGACAGAGTTCTCATTGGAGGCAGGGAAACCCCGGAAGGTCTGAAGGCAGTTAATGCACTGAAGGATGTTTACGCCCACTGGGTCCCTGAGGATCGCATACTCACCACTAATTTATGGTCTGCAGAGCTCTCGAAGCTTGCTGCAAATGCATTCTTGGCTCAAAGAATCTCATCAGTCAATGCAATGTCTGCTCTTTGTGAAGCTACTGGTGCTGATGTGTCACAGGTGTCATATGCTGTTGGTACTGACACAAGAATTGGTCCCAAGTTCCTTAATGCTAGTGTTGGCTTTGGTGGATCTTGCTTCCAGAAGGACATTCTGAACTTGGTTTACATTTGTGAGTGCAATGGTCTTCCTGAGGTTGCTGAATACTGGAAACAAGTAATCAAGATTAATGACTATCAGAAGAATCGTTTTGTCAACCGTGTTGTTGCCTCCATGTTCAACACAGTTGCTAACAAGAAAGTTGCCATCCTTGGATTTGCCTTCAAGAAGGATACTGGTGATACTAGAGAAACCCCTGCCATTGATGTTTGCAAGGGACTCTTGGGGGACAAGGCCCGGTTGAGCATTTACGATCCTCAGGTTACTGTGGACCAGATCCAGAGGGACCTTACTATGAAGAAGTTTGACTGGGACCATCCCCTTCATCTTCAGCCGATGAGCCCCGCCACAGTAAAGCAAGTTAGTATTGTTTGGGATGCTTATGAGGCAACTAAGGATGCACATGCTGTTTGTATTCTCACTGAGTGGGATGAGTTCAAAACTCTCGATTTTCAGAAGATTTATGACAACATGCAGAAACCAGCCTTCGTTTTTGATGGACGCAACATTATCAATCCAGCTAAGCTAAGGGAAATTGGATTTATTGTGTACTCAATTGGCAAGCCACTGGATGCTTGGCTCAAGGACATGCCTGCTGTTGCATGAACACCTCTCTTTGATTGAACGTTGTTCGCGTTAGGACCAAAGAATATAGTTATGAGGCACATGCTGGATTTACTTTCTTTTTTTTTGTTTTTTTTTCAGTTTTTGATTTTTCTTATATTACCATTTATAGTCTGAAGATCCCTGAATCTGAAGATCCCTGAATCATGTATTGTCTAAATTTAGGAGCCTAATGTTTTATCCTTTGAGCTTGTCTTCTCTGAGGACCCGAATTGTTTTTTTGTTGGTTTATATATCGGTGAATTTTCGAAAATCATTTTTCTTGTTAGTTTATAATTGTAATCTAGTGTTCTTGAACCTAAACCCGGTCCTCGACTTTCAATTTATTAGGTTTGATCCTAAATTTAACCCTACCCCACTGATACCCTAGTAGCGAAACTATCATAGACTACAAGGCTATTGAAATCCAAATTGGTCAATGATTCGGCCAGGATATCAGGTCAGCGAGTTATTGGTCAAGTCAGCGGGTTAATGGTTCAACCGCAATCTATTTAAATAGAAATACAAAGAAAAGTTTATGTGTTATTTTAAAAATTAAGATTTCTTATGATGGTAAATGTGATAGGCGTGGGGGAGATGATGATATAACAATAAATATTACAAGTGGTGGTGGTGATGTCGATGGTAGTTGTGAAAGTAAACGATAAAATGTGGGTAGTTTGTGTAATATAATTTTACAAATTTTAACACAGCCTGTTACAATATTACTATAAAAATAAAAATAAACTAATATTTTACACGCAGGGTGGATCCATTAAGGACCCTTAATTTTTGGCATTTACAAAATAGTTCTTATAGTTTTTTAGTCCATAATTTTAAGTTTTTAACCTATAATTTTTACGTAATTCTGTCTCGTCCCACTGAATCACGTTCCTGAATCCGCCCCTATTTACACATAATCGTGTAACACAATTCAAGAACTCAATCTCATCTAAATAAGGAATTATTTACTCCATCTCTCAAATAATAATGTGGTTCAACTAATCACATCCAAAAATTATATTAGACACAATCAATCAATAGCCTTTACACCAAAAATCACGAAAAATAAATCAAGTTTAACTCATGAAGGGATCGTGTACTAGAAATTGAAAATTCGAACCTTCCGCAGCATGATGTTAGACTTAGCGCCTGTTTGAGCCCCATTTTTTTACTAAACTTTTATATACAAGATAAATTTAAATATTAATCCATATTTTTAGTTTTACCTAGTTGTTTACCGAGCACAACTCAATTTTGAGGTTGAAAAAGTTTTAAGTTTATCCTGATCAACAAGGACATGAGGGATATTATTGACGTTCCGACTCTTCTAATCGAAAATATCCAACACATTTTGACGAGCCTAATCAAAGCAACGGCACATGATGACAAAGCAAAGAATCAAGAATAGTTTAGGGCAGCTGGCTCCAGTGTTAAACAAACACATTTGTAGATCAACCCAAAACGATTTCCCCTCTCTCTCCCCAGCGTGTATTATACCGCCAATCACTCGCCCCCGTCGAGGAAATCTTTTAATTCCCAAATCAATTACTCTTTTTGAAGCACAAAAAGTCAATGCAAAATACAAATCATGGAATTACTCTCTCATTTCCAGCGAGTAAAATAAGCTGTGATGGCTAGTCCGCGTGTCATTTCTTTGCTTCCATGCAAGGCTTCCTTTCTTCTACTATAAGCCCAAAGGCCAAAGCCACCATCAGGATTCAAGATTTTAGTGAGAGAGAGAGAGAGAGAGACTGTGTGTGTGTGTGTGTGCTCGCGCGCGAGTGAGTGAGAGAGAGAGAGAGAGAGAGAATTCAGTATGTGTCCTGTTTTATCGGAGCATATATCACTGCCAAACAGTCCTTTATCTCTTCATTTAGATATTTCATTTTCTGTGGGCTAATGAAGAGTTTAATCGAGACTAGACCACGCTTTATAGGAGGTTCCTTTTTATAACTTTTCAGTTACCAGATCTTCTTCTTGCTAATCCATGGTTGGTTTTTTTTCCTGATCTGATTTTCAAGTGATCCTCTGATTCATAGAATTCTTGGGGTTTTTTTTTCTTAATTGGATATTAGATTCAGCATAATTTTTTTTTCAGAAAAATTGAGTTTTCTTGAATTTGGTCATCTGGATTTTTTGCTTTAGCAATGGAAGAAGTGCAAGAACTGAGGCATGTGTGCAAAATATGTAGCAAGATTTGCTGGAGTGGTAAGTCATTGGGAGGTCATATGAGGGTTCATTCAGCCTTGATTTCAGCTATGAAAAAAGAAGCAGCTGAAGTCAAATTCGACGGCCAAATGGTTTCGGAAGGGGGCGATGATCAAGAGGGTAGGTTTCAAAACTCCAAGAATCAATCAAACAGTACTAATTTGGATCAAGAAAGGATAAAGAATTGTGGGAGCAATATGGGTGATGATGATCCGAAAACTAGCTACGAATTAAGGGAGAATCCAAAGAAATCTCGGAGGAATTTTGATGCCAAACATGGAGATACATCAAGGAATGGAACTTGTAAAGAATGTGGCAAGGTGTTTCCCTCTTTGAGAGCTCTGTCTGGTCATATGAGATGTCATTCGATCAAGAAAACCACGGAAAATCAGAATCACTGTAAGGAATGTGGGAAAGGGTTTGATTCAATGAGAGCTCTGTTTGGTCATATGAAGAGTCACTCCAACAAATCAAGAAAAGTCTCTGCTGAGAGTTCATCAGACTTGGATAATTTGTGCCCCCTTCGAAAAAAGCGAACTAGGATAATATGTAAGATTGATCCTACTCCCTCTTCTAGTGTAGTTGATTTTGGGGAAGTAGAAGAGGTGGCTCTGTGTTTGATAATGCTGTCTAGGGGTGTGAAGAATTGGGATAGGTCTAAATCAGGTACAGAATCAACTGGTTGTGATTCTGCATTTTTTGGAGACGAATCAGTTTGTAAAGATAAAGGAATTGATATCAATGATAGTGGAGATCCATCATCTGATGGCAATAAGGTGTGGAAGATGGGTAAATTAGTAGGAAAGCTTGATCCTCGCATTCTTGGCTCTGGAAATGCTTGTTCTGAGAAGCATGTGCTTTGTTCTGATGATTTGAATTCAGGTTTTTCTAGTCAAAATAAGATGAAACTTAATTCGGAAATTTCTGATGGTGTGTTGAAATCTAGCTGTTGTGACAAAGCGGTACTTGGCGGCCATGATTCAGAGTTTGGAAAGTATCTTTCTGAAAATGCTCACAGTAATCCTAAAATGTTAATAGATTTTGATGAGAAGTTCGACTTAAAAATGGTTGGTAGTAGCTCTTCAGTTGAGGTGGATGCCTGCTCGTTATCTGTTGCTGAAGCTAACTCCAAGATTGAATGCAATGTTATTGCAAGTTTTGAGTGTCCAATATGCTTGAGGGTCTTTTCATCTGGCCAGGCTTTGGGTGGTCACAAGAGGGTTCATTACAGTGGATTTACCGAAAACAAAACCAGGAAACCTGTGGCAATGGACGGCGATTTTGATCTTAACTTACCTATCAGTATTGCTGAAGGTGAAAAGGACGGTGCTGAAATCAACCAATGGTGGTTCGAGACTAGGCAGGAGCCGATGATCACAGATTGAGAATCTAACTTGATCCACATTTTCCATGAGGTGATGCATTGATAAAATGATTCAGTTGATCAAGATTCAATTCATACTTTAGGATACATCTTTTGAATTTTGTCTTTTCAGCTTGCAGATATTCATAGTACAGTGAATTTCCTTTTAGTTTCCATGTCTTTGTCTGGTACCAATTGCAGCAGAGATATGAGTTAACTGTTGCATTTTTTTTTTTTCGAGACATCATGGAACAGAAGTACAATGCTTTTGCTTTTGCTCTATGTTCGTTATTTTTTCCAAAAATCACTAGCGCTTATTCCATTTGAATCTTCTAAATCTTCATTCCAAGCTATATAGGAATGCACGTTTTGTAGGTAATACTACTCGACTCAACTGCATCAAAGTGCTGTTGAAATGCTTTAAGTCTGTTCAGTTGGAAGGGAACATGATTGATGTTCCTTAAAAACCTATATAAAAATGCAGAAGAAGGTGGTTGTTTAGTCACCTACCTTATACATCTCAGTTCCAAGTCTTTTCCTTATAGTTTGAATATATCTTTATATAAAAATATATGTAATTTATTTATGTGTCAGAGTGTGTTTGTATGTTCTTTTTTTAATGTAAAAATTTTCTAGCAAGAAAAGGTTATGTTGTAGACCTGGCTTGAGCGTTGGAATCAATCTTTTGACTTGGCCTTATGATGCAACTTGATTTATCAGAAGACAACGTGAGTGTTCAAATACCCAAAAAGCTCAAAGTTTTGAGTTAGAATAAAGTCACTTGAACATACTAAAAAACAGATAAAGTACAGACTGACTGACTTGGCAGTGTATGTGTGGATGTCTTTTTTTTTTGCAAACTGTCCAATCATATATGAACACGTGTTCCTTCTATTTTTGAATCTGTCATTGAGTCTGTTTGTGTAGCATAATTCTTTGAGTTACTCTACTTGTTAGAGTTTGGACCCATGTCCCATTTAACAATGTTTTTACTTTTGCTTCTTAGAGAAAAATTTCTTGAAGAATATATTTTAAACTAAATTTCTTGAACTCTTCTAGTCAGGTAAAATACTTTCAGAAAAATATTAAAATATGTTCAAAAGCAGTTTTTAATATCAAAAGCAACTTTTGACTTTTGAAAAGTCTTGTCAAATGAATCCTCGATTTTAGTGAAAATGGTTTGGAGGATCTACATCGTCTAGCCGTGCTTAAAAAGTAGCTTGAAATTAAGTTACTTGTAAGTAAAATTTTATTTTCGAATGTATTGAAGTCACTTTCTTCTTAATTACAAGTGAGGAAAGTTATTTTGATGGCAAGTAAGAGATGCTTTTCAAATTAAATAGCTTTAGTTGTAAGTAAGGAGGCCAAGGTCCCTACGTACTCTACTTGATGCTTAATTGTCCATTTCTTTGGCTAACAATGACAAAATCTAGTATTCTATTATGATAGATCTTGAACTATCAATGACAAATTAACAATGTAAAATATTTTGCGATTGTTTCGACGAAATTATAAGTTGCTAAAATTAGAGCCATGTTTGAAAAACATTTTTAGGAAGTTATAATTTAGGGAAAAATTTACAGCTCAGGTATTATCTATTCCAAAATTAAAAATCGGGTCTCAAAGTTTAAAATTGTAAAAATCAGGTTTTTCTTGATTTAATTAATTATATTTCAGAATTATTATATTCAATTAAACATTTAAGTGTAATATAATAAAATTAACNAATTAACTCACCCCACCCAGCTTCCACCATCCCCATTGCTCCGGCTACTACTCCGGTGACCGGCGACCACTCCGGCGACCGGCGACTACTCCGGCCTCCGGTGATCGACGACCACTCTGGCGACTTTTTCGAGGTTACAGATCAAAAAATTTGTAGGTCACGGATAAAAAAATTTGTAGATCGCAGATTATTTCGAGATCACAGATTTTAAATTTTATAGGTCACAGATTATCGTATTAAGGTCACAGTTAGCTTAATTCAGATAACTGCTCCAATTTCGAGATCACAGATATCGTATTAAGGTCACAGTTAGCTTAATTCAGATAACTTCTCCGATTTCGAGGTCACAGATATCTTATTAAGTTCACAGTTTCATTAGTCACTCATCAAAAAAA